TGCACCTGACCCAAGCCATGGTATTCTCAATAGCCTCATATGCACATGAGAACTGTCCAATGAATAAGAAATACCAAAGAAGAATTGATATATTTGAATTATGGTGTTGTCAAAGAATATTGAAAGTACCACGGACCGTCCAAAGAACAAACCAGTCTGTCATGGAAGAAGCACAACCAGAATGCTCCTTAGAAGGGAGGGTGGCAAGACTTTGTCTTGGGTACTTTCCACATGGTATCATGAAGGAACAGTTCCTGGGAAAGGACATGCTGTTTGATAAAGTGGTGGGTCAATGAAACAAAGGCAGACCCCCAACGAGATGGATTGACACAGCGGCTGCAACAATAGACTCAAATGTAACAATTGTGAGGCTGGCCTGGGAGCAGGCAGTACTTCCATAGGTTGTGCATAAGGTCACTGACTGTGAGTTGAAACAGATTGATGGTATCTAACAACAGCAGAAAGACGATTCAGGAGCCCCGAGGCACACTGGTTAAAGCATTCCTTTGGGAAAAAAGATGTAACAATCTGCTCCTGTAAAAATGACAGCTTAGAAAACCGTATAGGGCAGTTCTACTTTGTCTTATAGAGTTGTTACAAGTTGGAATCTGCTTGGTGGCACACAGCCGCAGTAACAGATAGAAGCACGATTCTGTCTTTACTGGTACTAAGCCCGTTCTTCAGATCATCTGTATAGTTCATATCAGACACTTTCAAAATACAGACGTGAAGTGACTGGTCAGTACCCCCCTCACTATTCCTCTCCAGGAGTTAATAATCGCCCCAAGCTGCCTCAGTGTGCCCCTGTACCCCTAGTGAAAGTCACCCACAAGTGCCTTCAGCTGTGTACTTCTCATGATGGCACATGACTCATCCTCCAGATTCCTGCTGCAGTCTCTCCTCAAGGAAATTTACCCTCTTGCTGTGGCTCCGTGCATAGCAAACATACAGTGTCAAGGCAGAATGGTTCCTTTTATAAGCAGGGGCATGGCGACAGCTTGGCAGTGTCTGGATGCCACACACGAGAAAAATCCTCGAGCGTTAATTCTTTGGCCTCACAGAGCTTGTTGCATCTGAGATGACACTTCATAAATGCCACCTCATTCATCTTCTCGGTGCCCCTAGAGGCAGGGGATCCCATAAAATCAGCCCAGGTGGTTCCGAAGTGGTCATCCCCCCAGGTAGTTCCAGGGCAGCAAGTTCCTGTTGTGAGGTGTCACACTGCTCTTATTCTGTAACTTCCGCTGTTACACACGGGGGTCTCTCTCTACCCACCATCATGATTCATTCCATCAATGTTTACTGTTCCCTGTACCAGGTACTGGAGAGACAGAACTCAAAGCCACCTCTATGCCATTCAAGGAGCCCTGATAGCATAGTGGATTATGCATTAGGCTGTTCAGTCAGCAGTTCAAATCCACCTGCCCCTCTGTGGGAGAAAGAGGGGACTTTCTGCTTCCGTAAAGATACATAACCTCAGAAGCCATACATCTACCACGGAAGATGGAGAGCACTGAGAGAGGACACAGACTTCCTGAAGGAGGTGTGACTAGAGCTAACTCAGAAATCTGGCTAGGGAGGAGAAACAAGAAGGAAGGTTTAGGAAGGAGAAAGAGCCAGGGCAGTGTAGGGGATGCTGGGATCTGAGAGGAAGGAGAGATGGCCAGATCATAAAGGGCCTTGTTTGTGTTTGTGCTGAGGAGTTTGGACTTGATCTCAATTGAATGAGTTTTAAGGTTTAGCTAGGAAGACTTTCCCCTGCTTCTTCACTACTTCCTCTTCATCCCCCTTCCAGACACATAAATATTGCCCCCACCCACCAAACACATAGACACTCCCCCCTCACCAAACATAAACACTCCCACCCACCCACCCACCAGGAAGTGTCTGTAAAGGCTCCAGCTGCAGCATCCTGCCATCATTAAATCCATGGATGAATGGATGGATAAATGAATGAATGATTTCAGCTTAGACTGTATAGATGTGAATGGCCATATGGCAGGTGGTTTAGTGACCTACCATAACAAAACACCTACACAGTGGATGGCTTTAAAGAATAGAAACTTATTTTCTCAGTTCTGGAGCTTAAGTCCAAATCACAGTCTCAGCTTTGCCCATTCCTTCCATAGACCTAGACCTCTCTCCTTTTCTCTGGTGGCATTCCTTAGCACTCCTTTGCTACTTATTGACGCATCTTCCCATGGCATCTTCTGTGTGTGTGTGTGTGTCCATGTCTTTTTTCCCTTTTTATAGTTACCACTCAAAAGGGATTAAGTTGAGGACTATCCTCCATCCAGCCTCATTAGCATAACTGAAGAAAACCTCTGTTTCCAAACAGGGTCACTTTCACAGGTGTGAGGGTGGTTTTTGTCAGCGGATTCAAACGCATGGTGAGCCATGTATGACAGAGCAGAACTGCTCCACTGAGTTTTCTTGGCTATGATCTTAACATCAGTTTGCCAGGCCACTTCTTCCGTGGTACCTGTGGGTTGGTTTCGAGCTGCCAACCATAACGTTAGTAGTTAAGCACAAACTGTTTGCACCACCTAGGGACCTTACAGGGTGTTAAGACTTCAGATCTTTGGGATGAGGGAGGGCACAGTTCAATCCATGAATAGGGTAGATGGTGGAAAATTTTTCAGAAATGGGCCAGAGAAGGGCCTTTTCATTAAAGCAGAACAAAGAAGCAGCCTCCGCTGTCCTAGGAGAGTCTTGATGTGCAAGGCTTCTTGCCTTGATTCCATTATTCCTGGGGCAGGTCAGTAATCTAAAGCTGTGCTTCATGGTCCTAGCTTTGGGCCACTTCATGAATCAGAGACAAGTAGCCTTCTTGGCAAGAGTTGAGTGGCTTCAAGAGAAACATCTATGAAGCAGAATGATGGTATTGGATGACAGCACTCAAAGAAGGAACACAGAGGGGATCTAGGTTACTGGAGTTGTGTATTGCATGTGCTTGTCTCTGGTTTAGAGGCAGGGCTTTGGGGCATTTCAGTAAAGATGAGAGGACACATCACTTTGGGCCGGATATGAAGGTGGGAAAGACACATTGCTTTGACAGCAGTTTTCCCTGCCTCTTCAGGACGATGTGCAAGCTCCTGGCATGAGTCTGCTTCCCCAGCCCTTCCCCAGACCTCCCCCCCTGGGCAGTGAGTCATCCAGAACCAAGAGTGCACCAGAATGTTCTGGATATTTCAGAAATGATTCCAATTATTTAGACCTGCATGGAGTATGGAGTACACCCTCAGGGTCCTGGTGTGACTTAATGTACTGGACTGCAAAGTCGATATCATTCACAAGGTAGGCGGTTCAAGTTCACCAGCCACTCCTTGGAAACCCTGTACAGAGTCAATATGGGTTGGAACCAACTCGATGGTACTTAACAACAACAGCAAGACTACACTCTTGGACTCCTGTAGGATAAGCACTCTACTGCAAGATTGGTTTGAACCACAAGGTCGGTGGTTCAAGCTCACCAGCCACCCCTCAGAAACCCTATACAAGGTCGTTCTGAGTCGGAATCAACTAGATGGCACTTAACAACAACAGAGTAGACTCAGATGTTTGTTTTCTATTGTATATTTTCAAAGAGTACTAGACCCAAAAGGGTCCAGATGTCCCAAGGAATTGAGAGCCAGGGAGGACTTGGGTGAGGAGGCAATCGCTGTTTAATGCTGGAGAAAATGGAAATAAATGAGCATGCAGATGATTTCTAAGATTCCTTTTAACCCCAACCCTCTTGCAAAACTGATGCTTTTCTAATTCCTCCAAATTACTCTGTGATCACGCTGAGACTCAGAAGTTGCTCTGCACCCTAAAGCAAGTCTGAGGTTTTCTTGTCCAGGTCCTGTATTTTATAATGCCCATCAAATTGTTTTGTATCCAGTGGCTTACCCCACGTCTGGCAAAATAAAATCTCAAGAGATAACTTCTATTTCAAAATTGTTTCACATAGTCTAACAGGAAAGAGTATTGTAATTTATGACATTAAAAAAAAAACAAAAAAAAAAAAACAAAAAAAACCTACTGGCAAATGGAGGCCTTTTATATCAAAAAGCCCGAGGGGTTCCAACTGTTGTCATGGTGAGAAGAGGCTCTGTAGTCTTTGGGTTATTGCAGTGATGGTATCAGGCCAACATCTCTCATCTGTTGTTAAGTGCTGTCAAGTCAGTTCTGACTCATAGCAACCCTGTATAGGGTTTCCGAGGAGCAGCAGGTGAATTTGAACTGCTGACCTTGCGGTTCAAGCCAACCTTGTAGTCCAGTGCTTCTGTTACAACATCACATCAGGGCTCCATATCTCATTTCGGCAGATGAAACTCTGGCCTAGTGCAGGGATGCCAGGCAGATTGAGGCTCTTGCCTAAAATCCCATCTTTACAGCTCCAGCCCATAGTTTAAGGCCTTGATCCCATACCCAGGCCCACCACTGACTGGGAGAAGACACAGATTAAAGATATGGAGATGCCACAGAAATACAAGGGTCTTCAAAAAGCTTATAGAAAAATGACATTATCTTTCCATTCCATTGTTCCACAGACTTTCTGAAGTCGCCTCATATTTTGCCAATTTTGTCATCTCTCCCAGGGTCAGTTCTGTTAGGGTCATAGAATAAAATATGTTCCAGTCTGAAGGGGCGAGAGACAAGCTAGTTGACCCTACATTTTACATAAAGGAAAACTGAGTCCCAGAGTTGGGAGGACACTCACTTGGTCACAGGCTGCCGTAGGTGGGAACCTGGGTGTCCTGACTCCCATACAGAAGGCCCCTTTTCGGAGACAACAGGCATCACGTTCAGTTTTTTCAGGGGCCAAATCGCATTTGAAAGATGAAAACTGAAATGGCTGGAAAACTAGAGAAAATTTTCAAAATGGCTTTCTGACTCTGGGTAAACAGTAACCACCTTTTTTTTGCCTGTTGGAGGCCTGGTTTTTAATCACTCCACAAGCAGTTTTCATTTCTGGAGTAAAATTGCTTGTGGTTCTATTTAATTTGTTTCTGCAGGAGCCAGCTTTGGTGAAGATCTCTGAGGAGCTGGCGGGTATTTTAGCACAGCACGTACAGCCAGTCAATGAGAAACGGTTCCCGACGTGGGGGAGATTCCTCCAAACATTTCTCAGTCAAGGTAAATAAGACTGTAAAGTTTCTGGTGAGGATTAGTCGTTATACAACCCTGAATTCTAGTGTTGGGTCAACCTAGGGCCAATTTAAATACCTTGCATTCCTTGTATCCGTTTCGGGGGGAGGGGGGGGGAAATGTTCTACTCTGAGTAGACGTTTTTCTTTTTTTGAACTTTGTCTAAATATTTATCTTGCACCCAGCCTCGTAAGTAAATAGGAACTGCATGTACCTAGCATGATGTGCATAGCTCAAGGTCCCAGGCTGTTGTGTTATTTTTTTCCTTCTGCACTATAGACTTCTCCTGAGAGGTGAACTTTGGAACCAGGTGACCTTGAGCAAGGATCTTAAATCTTTGTCGACCCAGTTTCCTTACTTACCTGCTTACCAACTCACAGGGTTGTTGTGAGCATTCAATAAAATACAGAGATGAAAGTTTCTACCATGGAGCCAGACATAAAACGTTAATTCCCTTTCCATTTTCTGTTGTTAAGTGCCAGTTCTAACTCATAGTTACCCTGTATAGAGTTTCCGAGGAGCAGTTGGTATGTATGAACCACCAACTTTGTGGTTAGCAGCTCAGTGCTCATCCTACATACAGTGCCACACTAGGACTCTGTTTTCTAGGGGAGCAAAAATAGACTTTGTTTCAGTTCTTAAAAAAAAAAAAAAAAATCAACTCCCTTCGAGTCAATTCCAACTCAGAGTGAACCTATAGAACAGGGTAGAACTACTCCTTTAGCTTTTCAAGAATAAATCTTTACTGGAGCAGATGGCCTTATCTTTCTCCCATGGAGTGACTGATGCATTTGAACTACCAACCTTGGGGTTAGCAACCCAAAGCTTAACCTCACTACATCAGCAGAACACCTTTCCAGTTCTAAAGGTAACCTGGAAAAACAAACCACTGAGTGAATTTCGACCCATGACACTTCCACGTGTTGTAGAATAGAGCTGCTTCATAGGGTTTTTTTGACTGTAATCCTTACGGAAACACATCTCCATTCCTTTCTTCTTCAGTCCACCTAGATGGAGTCAAACCACCAACCTTTAGGTTTGTAGTGAACTGTGACCCAATTGCACGAGCCAGGCCCAGGCTTTTGTTTCTTTTTAAAGGCAGATTTACTGAGTTTTTGGCAAACGTTTACACAGAAAATTCCCATCTAACAATTTCTAGACAAATTGTTCAATGATATTATTAGTTACATCGTTCACAAGGTGTCAGCGTTCTCTTTAAGTGGGTCTCATTGTTCCATTTCCAGTACTCTACTCTCCCTGACCACTTAGCTCTTCATCTTTACTTTATAATAATTGCTGAGTTTTTAGCCTGGCCTGTGGTCTGAAGGGAGAATTTCCACTTAAGGGTCCTCTGAACTGCAAGGTAGATTTGAACCTCAAGGTCAGCGGTTCAAACTCACCAGCTACTCCTTGGAAACACTATATAGGGTCGCTATGAGTCGGAATCGACTCGAAGGCACTTAATAACAAAACAGTCCAGAAAACAACCACAGCCTCCATTCCCCTCATTATACTCATCCTAATGCATCTTCATTTTCTAACAATTCAGAAGATCCAGGAGTTGGTATGCTGCTGTGGGTTAATGCACTGGACTGCAAAGTCTGTTTGAACCACAAGGTCGGCAATTCAAGCTCACAGCCGTTCCTTGGAAACCCTCCACAAGGTCACTATGGGTCGGAATCGACCTGACAGCACTCAACAAAACAACAGGAGGTCCAGGAATAATGGACTACATGGAGGCAACGGAGCTCGGCTCCATTCACAGAGGTCCATGAGCAAGTGCTACCCATGCAGGACCCCTCAGTCTCTAGAAGGTTAACAGTCTAAAACAGACATTCTTACCTGGTAACCCACACAGCCAATAGAGAGGACTTGGCTGACCGATCTCAGGAGTCTTCCCTCCATTCTAGTCCCTGCTGGTCTGAGCACCACAGTCTACAAGACTGCTGACTATCCAAGACCCACTGCCTCACAGGGACCCTAGGACACAGTGAAACAGCCCCGTAGGTCTCTTTTTGTAGGTTTTGAATTGTTTCCAATGCTGTATCTATCTTATTTGATTGTTTCTTTAGCGCTTTCCTGACTTCTTCCTTATTTTTCTCAAATAAAGTGTTTTGAAACATTTTATAATCATTTTTCTGAATTCCTTCTCAGGCATTTCCAAGGCCTGCCCTCCTTCCAGAATGCAGTCCAGGTCTACCTCTAGGTCATTTGTCTCAGACATTTTATTTTTATCTTGTTTCTGGACGTGCTGATATGGTCATCTGCTTTTGCTTCTTGGACATGTTTAGTGTTTATCTGTGGCCTTAATACTTAATTGAGTATGTGTTTTGGTATTTTTTATGCTTTGTGATTGCTTCCAGGAAGATGTGATCAGGATGTGGGCTTCCCTTTTCACTCTTCTTATTGCTTAACTCAGAGTAACTTTCACAGGTGTTGTCTGTTTCCCTGGTATATGGCAGTTGGTATTGATTCTTGCCTGGGTTTTGGTGTTTTATAGCGTGTGATTGTAGCTTGGCTATATGGCAGCAGTTGCTGACTCACTTGTGCAATATATGGAGAGAAAGAGTCCTCCAAAGGTAGAAGGGGGAGCATATAAAAGCAAAACAGCACCAGGGAAGAAAAACCAAGAGGAAAAACAACAACAACAACAAACAAACCAAACAAAAAAACAGCAACAACAAAAACTAGACTGAATACTGTAGTCTATAATCACAGAAAAGGGAGAGGAGAGAGAGAAGAAAAAAAAAAAAATCTGTATCCTAATATGAGTATGACTTTCATGTCCTCTCTTCAGCTTCTTGCTTTCAAAGCTGCCTGAGAGATTTCAAGATGCCGCTGTGGGTTATTATGCTATACCTCAGGCTTTAATTTAATTTCTGGCCTGTTTTGTTTTTAAACTCTTTCCCTCTCTACAGCCCTGTCGTGCCCTTTCCCGCATTAAAACACAAACAAACAAAAAACGTTCAGGGCCTGCTCTTGGGCTGAGTATCTGTGCGCATGCGTGGCAGAAGAACGCACCAGTGGTGAAGGGGGAGGGTGTCCACTTGCTCAGGCTCCCCCCTCTAGTCACCAGAACGGAGGTGCGCAAACAGTGGGCACACCAATGAACAAATACCAAAAAAAAAAAGAAAATCAGAACAAAGCAAAACTGACAAAGTGTATTGTCCACCTTTGCTCCAAGGGTCCCGCGGCATTTTTCCCGTGGTGTTTCTGCTCCCCTGCTTGCTCTTGCTGTTTAGTCTCACCCAAGATGTTGGCTCTGGGCCTCTGAGCCCGACTAATTCAAAAGTACGCGATTTCTTACTTCACCTTCAATTTCCACAAGCTATAAGCCTTCAAACTTTTAAAATATTCCTAGCTCTGTGGTTCCGAGTTTTGGAGCTCTGCCCTGGATCTGCTTTGCCTGGTATTGTGTGGTATTACTGATGGCGAACTTCACTGCACCTCCACCCTAGCCGCCATCCCCCATAGGGTCTCCAAGGTGGTAAAAAAGCAGACGGCCACACCTTTCTTCCTCAGAACGGCTGGTGGGTTCAGATGGCTGACCTTTCGGTTAGCAATCAAGCACTTTAACCAATATACCACCAGGGTTCCTTTCACGTATGTCCCGAGGAAAGCAAAGAGAAGGGTAGGAGCCAAACCCTGTAAGAAGAGTTCAGGAAAGAGGATATGGTCAGCTTTTTACAAGATTGAGATCTGATAGCAGCCTCCAGGGACTAACACTTTTTGAAGTGCTAGTTACAATGATGATGATATGAACTGAAGGAACTGTCAGCTGGTAACAGAGGTCGGTGGGGGCAGCACAATGAGGAGAAAAGCAGACGGTGCTTCCTGTGTGCCAGGCATTATTCTAAGCACACACATAATATGTGATTTTATCCTCTTAACTACTGAGATGGGTACCATTGTTGCTTTCTTTTATAAAGGAAGAACCTGAGGTATGAAAGATTAAATAACTCAGCCCATATCACACTGTGACAGAGCCAGAAAGTTCCCAGGAGTTATAATAGAGCCAGAGGGTGGATCCTGGTGTGGTACTGTAGGAACCAACCTGACGGCACATAACAACAACAACACCCTAGCTCAGAGCATGGGAAAGGGCAGATCTGATGGTTGTTGGAAAACACTGGCTGGAACAGGGGTGCAAATGTAGGGTGGTGGTTAGTGTGCTGTAGAGTCAGTTCTGACTCCTAGAGACCCTGCATAGGGTTTCCAAGGCTGTAAATGTTTACGGGAGCAGAAAGCCTTATCTTTCTCCCACAAAACAGCTGGTAGTTCCAAACTGATGACCTTGGGGTTCACAGCCCAACTTGTAACCACTACGTTACCATTGCTCCTTGGAGGTAGGGTGGGGAGATTTCTAGTGTGTATCTCATTAATGAATTATTTAAGCAAGGGATTGGCTGGTCAGCCATATCACAAGCATGCTGAAAAGGACTTCTTCACTGAGAGGGGGTTTGTGCTACATGACCTCCAATGTCCTCTCAGATGGAAAACTAAATTGCAATGACAAAAAAAAACCACACACACAACTAAACATAAGAGTCAGCCAGATCCAAAGGAACAGATACCTACAACAAAAATTGGTCAAAGGGGAGTTGGGGTGGGGATTGTTTTTCAGATGAGAGGGAAGGATTGTAAAGGTCTCCAGAGTGTAAGGAAGTTTTTAGATCTTCCAACATCAACCTGCAAAGCCTTCCTCTAAAATATTTCTTTTCATCTAAGTTGTATAAAGCAGGAAGTGTTTTCTCAGCCATTGTCTGACCTGAGCTATAACAGAACTACAAGCTAAGACTTCATCTATGCCTTTGGCTCATCTCTATCTTTTCTTCTCAGCCACATTGTAAACACCGTGCTTATTTATGAGAGGCAGGACAAGCTTTACTGATGCAGTTTTATAGATGCAGAAACTGACGCTCAGCACTGGAAGTGACTAGGGCAAAAATAAGCGGTGAATGGGAATCCGAGTTAGAGTCTCCAATGGT